AAAAGGGGAATCTAAGAAACCTGATCACCAAGATCATGTCTTATAAAGAGTTGTAATTTAGTGCTCCAAATCGATAACGACTTAACTTGAAATAAGTACTAATAGCAAATTCCAACGTTGCAATTGATGGCAGGATGTGTAATTAATTAGGATCGATTAATATTATTCATAAGACAATACCAACAAATGCACCCATTGATAAACCAAGATATAAACACAATTCAAATACTATATAACTTAATTAGCAGACAAAGGAACACTTATCTCTTGAACATATTCAACATATGGATCATTATCTTTCACTGTCAGCATCAAAATATGAATATCTACAATTAGCTTCTAGCCAATATGTTTTTCATGGTAACTATTGTCCACTAGGGACAATTATGAAATATTCCTTTAAGGCTACAGGATACATTAAATGATTTTATCATTCATTCACTTTATAATAAGAATCAATAGGCAAGAAGAATAAATCTTTGAATTTCTTTAGAACTATTTTAAAGTTATATATCTTTCAAATTGACTAACAAAAATGCTTTACAAGTATACATGTAGATAAGGAAAAAAATAAATGTAAATGGTAACGGCATTAGAGAAGCTAAAATGACATGACTCTTGTATAGACCACTACCACAATGTTATGTGAAAAGCCACATAAATCATTCATGTTTCCATATTTAAAACAATATAAAATACAAGATATCATTCTGGTATTCAAGATAACATTTGAAAAGCCTGCTTGTCTGAATTAGGGGAATTTGATCACCCGCTTTTGGAAATTAATGAATGTATGCCTATTGTATGAAGTGATGAATGGTACCCTGTTCTTTTGATAAAATATAGATGTGACAAAAATCAATTGCCGCAGTTGAGGGAAAAAAAAATCTGGAACTGATTAATAAATAGCAATAATCACTTTATCTTGATCAATCAGATTATGGGTTCTCTGTACACAGAAGCACAGGGATAATTTAACAGGCACCGTGAACATAGGCTGTATTCTGAAGAAGAAAACAATTCTTTTATTTTCATGAGAGGTACATGCACAAGAAATGGACTTAATTAAAATAAACTGATAAAAGTCACAGGTCACCCCCGGCCACCTGCATAGAAAACAGGTCACCACCTGCATGTATACACTGTACATGTATGCATGTGGCTGCATACAATATCATCAAAACAGTACATCCAGCCTTTCCATATTATACATACATACATACATACATACATATTGGTATTTATTGAGCGCCTTTACATGAACATGCTAAAGGCGCTTTACATTTTAAAATACAAACATAATAGTTATATACTCTCCAAGTGCATGACAATTACAAAGAAAACAAATAATAATAATAACTAGAAATTTAATTCGTCATGGGGACGAATTAGGTGGTCTGTCTTCAAGTCTTATGATGTATTATAATATTTACTATATTGAGAAAGGGAGAAGTTTATATAGACATGTAAACAATGATGATCATGATGATGATGATGATCTTGATAGTAATGGGGATGACGATGATGATGATGATGATCATGATGATGTTGATGATTATCATCAACAGACCACGATGACATCAGACTGAAAAAAATGAGAGAACATTTAGATAGTATATAGTCTCAGCTACAACATACTCAAAAATCAACAAAAATCAAGCCGAAATAACGGCGATATTGCGCGCAAAAGACAAGAATGTAGAATCCAGATTTGAGAAAAAGTCATCTCCCATAAGGATTACACGCAAAAAGTAATGGATCTAGTGATAATAGGGTAATAATAAAGTAAATATGGTTGTTTATTACATTATTTGCGATTGTACGTGTTTTAATATTCAAAGGAGATGGTAGAGTGAATGGTCAAAAAGAAAAAAAAGTGAAGAAAAAAAAATTGTTGGAGACGCCCGGACTCGAACCAGGGACCTCGAGGTCGGAAGTCAAGTGCGTTACCGATATACCAAAACATTTCCCATAGAGATTACACGTAAACGGAAAATGGAATGCACAAATCCCACTTTGTAATTGAAATATGAGCATGATCCCGGCATCTGATCGAAAAATAAAGGGCACACTTGTGATAGCTTATTGTCTCAGCTACAACATACTCAAAGTTCAGCGTAAACAAAGCTAAAACGACGGAGATATTGCTCGCAAAAGACAGGATGTAGAATCCAGTTTTGAGAAAAAGTCATGTCCCATAGAGAATACACGCAAAATGTGAAAAATTGACATGCCTCCTTTAATCGCAAAAATACGCCATGATGCCTTTGTCAAAATGAAAAATCGTGGTGACTGCATTTGTAGACAATTGTCTCGGCTAGATCATATCAAAATTTGAAAGAAAATTGATCAATATTGACAGAGATACAGTCTATTTTCCAGAAATCTGCTGACGTCATAATATGCAAATTGAAATTTTGAGTTCGGAGGCCATTATGATGACGTCATGAGTTAATTGAGGATCAAATGAGACATGAATTCATATCTCCAACTCATGCTTTTTCCAACCATGATATAAAAATTGGGGGTCAATGGACTATCTGAAGAGCTATTTTGATTTTTAAAATGGCATGTTTTTGATCAAATTTGCATTATATTGCCCATAGCAGCACGCGCGGATTTTGAACTTTGACGCGCGCTCACGGCCTTATGAAAGGTCAAGAGTGACTGAAATTAATGTAAATTGTCATTTACGGTAAGAGGAATCTAAATCATGTAAAAAAAATTAAATTTGACTTTTTACGCGCGCTGTGAGCGCGCGCAACGCGCGCGGGGACACTTACGGACGGAAAATTTTGAAATGCTTAAAATGACCTGAAACGTGTGCAAACAAAATTTGGGACGAATTGGAGCATTTTAAAAATTTTAAGCGGGCGTACGTGCGCGTCGAGGTGCGCGCACGGATTTTGTTGACATTTTTAGTTGACCTTTGACCGGAAGTTGATGTATACTAAATATGGTTTATTTTTGATTACTCGTTATTGAGATATGATAATGACCTGATTTTTACAAAATGGCGCCTGGATGACGTCACGATGACCCCATGAACTTGAAAAAGGTTTCGGGAACTTCATATCATAGGGCCTGATGACTAGCAGAAATTTGAAGGAAATTGACCAGGTCGAGTTCGAGTAAACGTATACACAAAAAAAGTGTACGGAATAAATAAAAATAAATAAAGAAAGAATAAAGAATAAAGAATAAAGAATAAAGAAAGAAAATTCTAACGAAATCAATAGGTGATCTGTCATCGACAGACCACCTAATAATAATGTTAGTACCCCACACAACTTGGGTATGAATTCAAAAGACCTCTAGGTGACATAAAAGCTTCAAGAAATATCCATTGTCTTCACTTATTGTTCAATGCACATTCAGTATACATACTCAAGAAAAAAATGAGTTGTCTGTTTCAGTATAACACTATTGGTACATGTATATCATAGGCTACATTTATTTCCACTTGAAGATCACTGATACTTTACATTAATTGATTGTCAAATAATTGTCCATAGCGACCAATTGCAAAATAGCAACCACTTTGTAACTGCATTGTTGTTGCCTTATATGAGGCCCAGAGGCATGATTAATTTGCACATGTGGGGGTCCAAGTATCTTCACTGCAGAGTATATGTACACAAAAGACCCTGAGATGATAGTGGCTTCATTTCACATTTCTGCAAACATTCCCCAAAGAGGTAAATGTACTGTGGATTATCATTGAACATGAACAAATGGAATAAAAACAGATTGGTAATGACGGCTTTTTTCTTTCTTCTTTTCGGGGGGGTTGGTGGGATGCCCTTTTTTTAGTGCACCAGTTTCTTTGAGCTAATTAAAAGGTAATCCTATACTATTTGAAATTGTGTGCTGCTATTTTAAATTTATTGTACTAGATTTACAAAATCTAGGTGCATGCACAATTCAAGAATAAGTAAAGGTAGAAATGCAACTATGACTAACAATTTCCTGAGTTTCCATGCATTCCTGGAATCCCATATTTCAACTTCTTTATTCTACATGCACATCTCTCTAACTATCCCCTTGCACTTGAATTTCTCTGACATGCACTTCTGATTAGCCCCCCCCCCCCCCCCCCACACACACCAAAAAAATAACACATAACAAAAAACAAACCAAGACATGAATAAGACATATGATGTAAGACTAGGCAAATATGTACTTCAATGTGTACATGGATACATAGCTTTGGTTTAAAATGGATACATGTACGTGGAAATATTAGGTCCATTCGTAGTGTAGTACTACTAAAGGTCACCATAAAACACTTTGGGAAACCAGTGAAAATGGAAAATGATTTTATGGTCTCATATGTCCAGCAGGTTTATTCTACACAGATCGTGATCAATACCACTCCTGACAAAACAGATGTGTGCACATAAATATTACCCAATACATCACATCCACTTGTACAGAAAAAAATGTCTGCAGACTACAGTACATTCACGGACATCTAACACTTCACAGAAGTGAATAGAATTATACAGTGTACATGTACATGTAGTACTGCCTTTAAATCCAGTAATCGTGATCAAGTAAAATATTTTCGAATTCATTCTTGAATACATGAAAAGGCTTTAGAAACCTTGGTATCGTTTCACGAAACCATCATAAGTACAACTTCACCAACATCCCATTGTAAGGTACCGGTATGTTACATTTAATACACGTTTCAATGGGTTGTTGGCAAACTTGTAGTTTCGTGAAACGGTTTCCATATGAATTACAGAGCAAGGCGCATATATTTCAAGATTTTAACATTCACAATTTCAGATCAAAGATGAATCATATTTCAATTACAGGAAGACAACAATTAAATATAAATTCTTACACTTCTAATTTCCATTCGGCGATGGTATTTATAGCAAACTCATAAAAATGTGATGAATACAAGAGTACATACAGTGTAAGTACATAAGTTATTGCTAGATACAGTGTTTTTCTCTTCAACCTTTGTTAGATATAATTTGGAAAATTTGGAAGAGTTTGTGCTTGATATATTAATAAGGTCTTTTTCTTCTAAAATGAAAAATACTTGACAAGTACGGCAAAAATGAAGGAAGATCATGAAGAGTATTGCTGTATTACAAGTATCATATTCTTCACTATATAATTTCAGAGAGGTAAATATAAGAATGGAAGATTTCTGATTCTATTCTGCATAGATAACAATTTTGAATTCAAATACATTTACGTGATAGAAATACAACCACATGTCATTTTTCTTGACTATAATAAGAAAATGGCAGTAATTCTTTGTGGAAAAGAGGTATTTTCTGCACGTTCATTGTGATCAATCAGTCTACAGTACTGAGCTTGTGGCTGGAAGATATTCTACAGTGAGTGGCTTCTTGCTTTTACGGTGTCATTCAGTTGAGAATTTAGGAAGAATCTTTGAGAAAATATGCAGAGACATTTTGGCAGCATTGCTACAACACAATAGATCTCAAAGTTTCTATCAACCTTCACCACTTGTAACAGGTTGTGATATCAGAGGGGCCCATTGCACAATGACTTCTCTATCTTGTCTTAGGGTTCCACCAGGGACCTCCTGCTTTTCCCGTAACAAGTCTTGCGTCAACCGCTTTGTGGACTGTGCCCTGCATATGGACCTTCGAAGCATTTTCTGGGTCTCCTTGATGATGGTCCGGATATCAAGAGCAGGAGCACTGGCACGGCGTGTCGTCTGGTTAAAAGGAAAAGTCAGCACAAAGTCTCCGACCCGTTGAGGCGGTGACGGGGAGGACTTGCTCTTTGTAGCAAAGGAAGTGTCCTTCCCGTTGGAGCCCTGCATTCCCTGTTCATTTCTCATGATAGATGGTAGACCATCTCTAACCCCCATCTTTAAACCGGTTCTGGTAGTCGAGGGCTTTGTCACAGAGGAAGTTTTCTTCAAACGTGCATCTGAATCTGAAGTCGATCCCTGCGAGTTGCCTGATGAAGGAACAGGTCCTCTCCTTGAGGTTCCTCTATTTGCATATTGAGTGGTCTGCAAAGTTTCTGTGTTGCCTGACCCTCGGGAAGGTGGTGGCATCTGAGACTGAGATTTACTGTAAGACATGCTGGATATTGCGTCCCCTCTGTCAGCAATGAGGTCAGAGGACGAGGGATTTCTCAGAGAGTTGATGGAAGGTCTCGGAAGAGGTGAAGAAATAGGAGTATGCTTTCGCTCAAGTCTGCTACGTATCAGCTCCCTCCTGCTGTCGAGTTGCTTCCGGGTATCTTCCAGACTAGGCAAAATGTGACGTGCATGTAAGGCACTGCCTGGCTTACTGGACTGAGAGTTTTCAGGTTTATTGCCAGACTGCTCTCCTTGAGAGGCCTTTGACTCCTTCATGCTTACTTCACTGGATGTTCGCTTGCAAGCAGCCACTATCTCACCATCATAATCATCCTCTAAGTTGTTAGCCATCTGTTTCTGGGATGCAGGGTTTAAGGTAACTTTTTGAGTACTTTCCTTGTTGATAGGGGTCAGCTTATCACTGCTTGACACTCTACTCCTTGAAGAAACTTTGGATAGAGAGGATTTAGGTCCAGCTTTGTTGATTCTCCCTGAAGATGCAACAGAACCAAGATTAGATTTATCTCTTGTTCTGGATTTGGGCAGAACTACTCTTTTGTTTGGAACACTCCCAGCAAAGTTTTGTCTATTTGAGTTGTACACCTGCTTCTGTTTCAGCTTCACAAACTTCTCTCCTCCACGGTTCTCATCCCCTTCTCCAAAATTCATGAGGTCAAGAATATCATTGATGAGTGCTCTCTTGATGTTATGGTCCACAGTGCAGTCCAAACCTAGCGCAGGACTGAAGTTTACCTCAAGAAGCCATGCCTTAAGATTATCGTCGATCAGAATGTCGTAGCCAAACAGTTCCACACATCCAGGAGTCTCAGGGACAGTAGGGGCTTGAGCCAGCATTGTCAATGTTACAATGCTGCATATCTTCTGCCAGATGACTTCATCATTGATTCCCTGTTGACGGAAGTAGTTCCTTAGCATAGTGAGACTCCACTTGCACCCAGGCCCTACACCTTCCTTGTGAGCAGTGTAAGAAGGACCTAACTTGTTGATGCTCGTATTTGTCAGGTGGCAAAACATGTTTCCTAAGGAAGTCAGATCAAACTTCTCTGTACTGAACCGAACGATTCCTTCCTGGTACATGTAGATCTGCAGAGGGTTGAAGCTGGTCACCAAGACATAAATGCGTAAGTCAAACTTGTAACCCCCGATGAGGAGGGGATTGGTGATGTACCTTTGAGCGACAGCACTGCAGTCGTACGTCAGGTCAGATAGGTCTTTGAAGATGAAGATACCACGCCCCCTGGACAAATCAGCAGGTTTGCATATCCACAAAGTCTTCTTGCCTGATTCCTTATCTGCTTGCTGCCTTTTGGAGTACTCTGCGACAAACTTGGTGTAGTCGTTGGGCAGGTTGAACCCATTTGGAGTAAAGTTGAATATTGCTGACCCATAGACGCCCTTCATCCGCCTCATGTTCCTTGCCAAAGTGTCCTTCTTGGTTATAGCAATGGTCTTGGGAAAGTGATTCAAGCGCTGCCATGGCATGAGGTCGGCATAATCGCAGAGGCGAAAGCGGTTGCTGCGCCACCACAGGTTCCAGTCGAATTCTTCCATCTCTCCCTCCACAAACTCCTCCCATCCCCTGTCGAGGAGGACGTCTCGCAGCACCTCGGGTCCCACGCCATTCTCATTGAGTCTGAAGATCAGGGGCTTCGTGTTGCTGGGAGACGAGCACCCATGATTGTCGGACAACATTACTGTCTTTTTCTCACCTGGTCTCCATCATGCTGTTGGCCCGATGGATGAGCAACTTGATTACATGGAACTGCTGAATACAATCATGAAACAGCTAGTAATTTTCATTGGTAGCTGAGGAGAGCAGTTTCAACTTCAAGGAACCAAGGTGTTACCATCTGTACATGGAAAGATAAAGATAGAAAAGAGGTTGATTAATAGAAAGAAAAAATAAATAATGAATCTCTCCCTTTAATTAAAAACAGAACTGATGTTCAGATTTGGACAACGGATCTTTATACAAATCATAGATGACTTTAATACAGTGTATATTTTTCTATTCTCAGAATATGGAGGATGGAAGAGATAGCAAATCAGAACTTTACGTTAACATTAATCTTGTCATAATGAAGAAAAGCAATTTGAAATGAAAATTCCAAGCGAGGGGCATAATTAAAATCACGTTCCTCAGTGAGGGCATGTACTGCACTAAATAAAACATCAATGTTAAAGTGATATACTGTACATGTAACCATATACCATCATCCATAAAATTGATATCATTTGTTGATGTTGTAAAAACCTACATTAAGTATACCATTCTTTTGTGTAAAAAGTACACAATAAATGGTCTGTATACATAAGCTTTGAATGGATAAAAAAGTAAAATAAATGGATATAAATACAGTCAAACCTGTTTTAGGGACCAATTCTCTAAAGTGGCAATGTATTTTGCCTCCCTGGAGAGAGAAATGTATGTTTAATAGTAGAACCTGTCTAGAAAGACCACCTGTCTACATTTTTATAGTGGCCTCTTTTTCTTCAAATTCCCCTGGCCTTGGGTGGCCTCAATAAGCAGGTTTGACTGTACATATTGCAAACTGTCTTCACTTAGGTAAAGCATGATACAAGACTATAACAAAATAAAAGAGGAAGGAAGTTTAACAAAAGCAATATGTCTATCAGTTAAAACCCTACAACAACGTGAATTGAACTGTACTCTGCACACAGTAAATTTGCTTTAGAGCTTTACCAGAGAGGTCTCTAATCAATGTTTGCACACTGAAATGGCTACTTGATGGAGAGGCTAAAAGACTACAAAAGAAACAACCGAGTATCAAATACACTGTGCAAATAATGACATCTGACTGAATGAAAAACACTCATGTTGCTACACGAATATAGCCAAAAGGCAAATAGAAGTTGTACCGGTACATATGAAGTTATTATTGGAGGTTTTTAGACCCACACTGCCAAATCAGAACAGCTGCAGCAGAACCACCACCCTAGTCAAAATAAAAAACCTGAAGTCTTAAATTAGTAAAAGAAACTATTAAAAAAATCTAGATCTAGGCATAGACTCTAGAGATCTACACTGAGTATTTTCAATTCTGACTAGATTCTAGGCCTAGATCTACAGTTTTCATCTAGACTCTAGAGGGGTCTAGATCTATATGTTCCAAATCCTAAGCCTGAAAATAATTTGTGGGTGTCTATTTTCTATTTTCCATAAGAAAAAAAAAAAAAAAAAAAAAAAGTAGACCTAGTCTAGTCTATTTTTTTAGGAAATAGACCTAGGACTAGGCCTACCTAAACATTGAATAGAAAATAGTCATTCATTGCGAGAGGCCAAAACAAGCAACCAACATCCAGTGATCCACTCTAGATCTAGTCAGTCACAGTATGAGCTGTTTGTTTCTGCAATGTAAAAACCGACACAATCAAATTTTTGTTGTTAAATTGACAATTTCCTGGTTGAATTTTGATGGGATCTTTGGCATTCTGACTTAACTTGTTAGGATATCGAGGGTAATACAGTATGTGTGTCTGGTTACACGAGCGTACTATTAGAATCTAGTCATTGTCAACTGGTTTTCTTTTTGTGACGAACAAACATAGATTCTATGTTTGTTCTAAACTTCTATGTTTGTTTGTAGATCTATGAGCGCGTTTATCTAGGCTTGCCACTAGATATGTACATATCGTACCCCACTATCGAACCCCACTATCGTACCCCACTATACGATCGTGATTTGCGAGATGTCGCGTTTATCGACCCTTCACGATTCAAAATAAATTTATTTTTCTGGGCAGACACAAGGCCTTAAGGCCTTGTGTCTGCCCAGCTGTTTTGACCCGGGAAGCAGACAGTTTCTCGGAGGTCAACTTCACACGTATGCTTGTACACAACACCTGGGTGATCATATTTGTATGTGAGGTTCAAAACAGCTTTGCGTTTATCGATCTCTCAGAAACGCGATTCTGGCTGTATGTCACATTCAAAACGCACCTTTTTGCGTCTTTAGATATGCCCATATCTAAAGACGTTTGAAAAAGGCTTTGCGTTTATCTACTTCTAAATTTGCCTGAAAGACGTTTGAGAAACCTGATTCTAGCCAAAAATTTGCTAGATAAACGCAACCTAACTAAGTTTGTTCTATGTTCTAGATCTATGTTTGTTAGGGTCTTCAAAACTCCTCAAAATCTACACCAAACTTCAAGTTAGTTAATCCTGCACGAACATGCTAATGCTTGCTTTGAAATAACGTTGCAATTTAAATGAATAAAAAAGACCCCCAAAACAACAGAAAAACAAATCATGAAAACTGTCAACAATCACTGTCAATGTCAATGAGTTACCTACATCATTACATGTAGATTAGAAGCCATTCAAATTCTTTCGTTTCTGTCACAATCCAAATGCATAAAATGCCCGCTGTGCCGGTGATCTAAAACAGTAACATTCCAGCGTCATCTCTTCAACATATCAAAGTCCATGACAGAGTAAAAATGTCTCTAGATCTAGGCCTAGACCAGTTTAAATAGGTCCGCCCGACTCGTCTCCTCGACCTCGCTGCTGTTTGTTTGCCAAGTACAACGACCCAGCTCACCGCTAGCGCGGCGGAGCGGGTTCGGCCGGGTACAGGTAGGGTATAACGGGTGACCGGTGCAGGAAGCTAGCTTACCAGCGCTTGAGATTTGATTCGGCGCTGGCAAACACACCTGTCGCACAGCTTTTCGTTGGTACGTAACTTAGTTACCCATATCAACTAGAGAGGGCGCTCTAGAAATCAGGCGGCGCGTCCCTCGTTCACGACTTATAAACCATGGGTATTGTAAACTAACATTTTCTTTTAAAACATATCACGATAAATATTGTTATACTTACGATTGGGGCCCGGTGGGGTCACTCAATGTGACTTCCGGACCGCATGACCGTTACCAAAATCGCGGAAAAAGGGGTCAATTTCAAGCAATGTCCGCGGACAAAATATTCCTCGAAATTAAGAAAATAGGGGGGCACATGTGTCCCCGAAATTGATAAATAGGGGTCAGGAAAAGGGAAAAGAGAAAACCGGGAAGGGAAAAGAGAACACGGGGAAGAAAAATTCTCGGAGCCGAGTCTTGTCCTTGAAATATGGTAAAATAGGGGTAAATTTGCGAAAGTGTCCTTACAATCTTATAAATAGGGGTATTCCAAAGTACGATTTTGTCCTTGTTTTGACGTAAAAAAGGGGGTTAAATTTCACAAAATGTCCTTGAAATTGACCGCAAAAGGGGGTTATATGCATTGGTGGTAACGGTCATACGTGTCACTCTTTGCAGGGGAGTGACCCCACCGGGGATTGGGGACGGTGATTGTCGGTCCTAAAGAAAACAAAATGAAATTAAATGAAACAAACAAATAAATAAAGACAACAACAATTTTTTTTAACCGAAATACATCAAGCCGCACGTGACAAATTGATGAGAGAGAAAAGCGGGGCCCGGTGTGGCAGGGTGGGGATGTCGTTCTTGCAAATCATAGGGGCATCTCACCATCATGCCGTATTCTACATAAAGCAACACTCTCTCGTTATACCAAGACTTCTACCCATGTTATTTCAGTCTTGCTTGATATTCTGTTGTTTGTATTTTGCTTCGTTACGTTTTATTATCTTTTTTTGGGGGAGGGGGGAGGGGGTGTGTTTAGGTGTTAAAGATACCAAGCTTAAATCTTCGAGTTTGTTTCGTGCGAAACCGTTCTGAACTAATCATAATTTCTTACTCTAAACTAACTGAGATAATTTAGTGAGATTAATTACTTTATTATAAAACCTACATTAACTTGAGGAGTCAGATACTCAAATACTTTTTAAGTTCCTAATTCATTTTCGATGTCATGGCAATTGTTTTGAAAGCCCATCAAAAGCTTTAAAATATACACTTGGACTTAATTATTAGCATGGAAATTGTGATTAATCTATAAGTCCAAGTGTATATTTTAAAGGTTTTTATAAGACATTTATCATCTTGCATGCTTTTGAACATCTATAAGGCTATCAATGTCAAATTCAGAGTAGAGAAGCAATCAGTCCCTAGAGTAGGCCTACACACGAACATTTTGGCTATGTCCTGTCTCCTTATACTTAAAGTTGTGTTATCATTCAATTGCTGTAATAATTCAAGTTGTATGACGATTAAAAAGCTCCGGTTCGCATCCATTAGACTCCTAAACTTACAGCCATCGTCGTTATTTTCTTTCTACAACGATGTCTATTTTGCTAAGTACACCTTCTTTCCAGACATCGGGTGGAGTGATCCACAACCCCGAGGATAGTGCAATAACAAAAGCTTTGGAATCGTCAACGTGAGTATTTCAACTATATCATTAGTAAAGGGAGAAGAAGATGGATCCATCTTTAGAGGGGAGGAAAAGAGGGAAGGAAAAGAGGGAAGGAAAAGATAGAGAAGAGAAGTAAACAGAATGAATAATTGAGAAGATGATCCAAATAAGGGTTGTTAAGAAAAGGAAGGAGGAATGGTGTAAAGGTAAGTAATAATCTGAAAAGGGGAAAGAAAATGAAAAGAAGATACACAAAAGGGGGAAAAGAAGAACAATACAATTTGAAATACAACAGAGAGAAGGAGAAGAAAATATCAAGGTGGAAAAGGGAAAGAGCAGAATTATTAGATACTCCTACAAAACTGTCTAATTGTGTGTTTTGAACTAATGATAAGGTCGAAGACAAATAAAGAATTCATACAACTTCGCCTTAGCCAAACATTAATACAAAATATTGAGATCTAAAATTATTCTGTGCTTGCGCTTTTAACAATTTCTTTTTCTAATGTCTTCTACTGGAGGCGCGATGGCTTAGTGGGATAGCAGTGGTCTCGAAGCGCTGAGGTCGCGGGTTCGAAACCAGTTAGGCATAAGTCAGTGCGCTCGTGTGCCTTTCGTCAAATTCGTCAACCATATGTCTTTTTTTATTTAAAAAAATTTACACGTTGTTAAAGTCATATTTTCTCTCCATTCCCACGATCACCACATCAGCCTCATCATGATCATGCTGGCATCGACGTGCCTCAACTCGGTAACCATGTTTGTGATTCTGCGCACGCGCAGTTTGCGACAGACCGGCCACGCCCTTCTGATTTTGAACCTCTGTCTGGCAGACTTGGGCGTGGTATTTTTGGGCATGTCTTTCTCTCTCCTCTCGGTGTTTGACGGAGGACGATTTGTGATGTCGCATCCAATGATTTGTAAGGTAAACTATCTATATTTATTGACCTCAAGGGCATTTCTAAATGGAGGGGGAGGGGAGGGGTGGGGTGGGGTGGAAACTGCGCATTAAAAAAATGGTTAAGCATCCATGATGCTGTCTTTCTTGTCCTCCATATGGCCTCATCACAAAAGCAGAACTTCACCTTTAGATGATTGTGTACGCAGAAATTTGTAGAAATTGAGAATATTAGTTTTGTACATTTTCTACAATTTAAGCTCAACAATTTTTGTAAAATTCTTCTTGATAATCTATTTATTTACACCTATAATTTGTTCCAAGATTTATTCATACGTGTACATAAACATAGACATATTAATTACAATATCCTATTTACTTATCATTAGTATCTGAACGGGTTTTTGACGCTGACTTTTTCTGTCACCGGCTTCGTGTTGATATCCTGCATTGCTGTTGATCGTCTGCTTCTCATAGTTTTCGCTCTGCGTTTCCCGCCAACACGCAGACGCATATACGTCATGGTCGCCGTATCTTGGCTCACCGGACTGTCAATTACAACGATAAGGCTTCTTGGAACGGGGAGAGGTTTCGGGTATTTGCCTTCAACTGAGAACTGTGCTGGGCCCTATGGGGATATCATCGGGACAAAGAGATACTTGATCATCGCCGGAGCCGTTCTTATGTCAATGTTCATCGTAGTTTATGGCACTATCACATTCTATCTTTGGAAAGGAGACCAGCGTCTTCTTCGGCACACCTTGGCCAGGCCAAAGCCGGTTGTGAAACCGAAGCCACCAGTGGGTGAGAATGGGCCTAATGAAATTCGGATGGACTCCCAGGTAAGGTTCAAGGTAGCTTAGGAAATAAAAAGTCTTGGGACACCATCAACAATAATATTGAATGATTTGTAGAAATGAATGTATGGTTCATCACCTTTTATTAGCGTGCCATAGAGTAGTTACCAATGATGTTAACTCCAATATTATTGTCTTAACTCTGGTAGTTACTATCATATTAACTCAAAGGTCTTATGCAACGGGGCCCAAATTGTCTGGTCAAAGAGGAATTTGTCTAAAGGGGAGGGGGGGGGGGGGCACAATGCCGAAAAAACAAAGTCCCCAAAAGAAAGCTGATGACGTTTTCAAGGTCTAAAATTTGAAACCATCATCATTCTCCTCCTCCTCCTCATCAATTGCCAGGTATGTTACAGACATAAGAGAATAAGGGGTGCAAATGTTTCGTGTATTCAAAGTAAACAAATGCGCGATTGTGTTATTGTTATTATTTTTAGCATTTAAATAAGGGGGGGACTGGTTATTGTTCCTTGCAACAATTATAATCGTAATAATGTCCACCTTCATACCAACCTCAAAACAAGACCATTTGCGAAAAGATTTGAATGAGGACTACTCAGTACTCACTTATGCATTATGGAATCACTATGCACAGTGGAATAACATTTCTCTTTGGAGTATGATATGCATAAAATACACACGCTAATGTGAGAAAAGTTAGTCGTGTAATGCAAACCTAGGTTACTTTTGTAATAAGGATTTTTTTTCTCTGAACGATCCCAGATGATTTCTCTGGCGTACATTAGTTTGAGGCCTATGCTATCTTTGGGGTTAAGGAGCTAATGTCGTGTGACAGAAATCAACCAAACAAACAAATGAAAGACATTTTTTCCTCACTTTTGTTCTTCACGCAAGGCTTCTGAATTCCCACAGGGCTCACCTAGAGCTGTCAACATGGAGACATCAGCTCCTGTTGTCATGGAAACGCTTTCATCAGACCCGTTAGGGAAGTCAGATGATGATGAAGACGGTCGGAGCACCGACGACGTAGCGACGTCCGGAACGAAAGTTACGGTTAAGCGTAAAAAACAAATTCATCTTAAACACAGACGGGTAACGAAAATGAGTAAGCCGTGACAAATCCTTTGCTTTTCTGAAACTGTTTCAAAACATGTTTGAAACCTCTTTTGTCATCGACTAAAAAATATAAGAGCAAACCATGAATAATTAGGATTGACAGGTTATATCTAATTTGACATCATGTTTGTCATGCATGATTAAAACAATTTGTGTAGCTTATCGTTCTATGTATAGATGGCAAGAACCAATATCCAAATATTGTTATGATTAAATCCGAAAAATATCTTGCCTTGAACTTCGTCAGCCCACATTGTGGTAGTTTATTGTCGAAAGATATATTTCATTCTGTGTTAGCAAATGAATAAGGCATTTGTCATAGAAGAAAAAGGAACCATCTAAAATTGTGTTACTCTTGAACTTATACCGTTATTGTTTGATATGTTTCTTTGACAGTGATGTTATTTCCATTTTGTTTTCATTTTCATAAGCTGCCCTGATGATATCTGCTTCTTGCATTTGCTGGACACCGAGCCTCCTGTACCATGCAGACCTCACCTGGGTCACTGATGCCCACTGGTTCGGTGTCTTCGCCATGTGGCTGGCTTACTGTCACACATTGGCTGATACACTCATCTACGCCATAATGAACAGACGAGTCAGAGCCGAGATGGCCCGAATGGCGCGTAACGCCAAATCGCAAGTTGTCGGCATGTGCCGGCGTTAGATCGGTTTCATCAACGACGGTCAATCAAATAACTACTAATCTGAAAGGAACGAAGAAATTTAGAGCGGAAAGTTATCATTACTTATACCCTGAAAGATGAAAAAACTTTGTTAAAAAGACCCAACACTGTCCTCCTTGTTTGGATTTGAATCTTTTTACCGAGGTTCTGATAAGCCTTTTACAGTACACGCCGAAAATCTCCGCAAAACGATTACACGATTTATTTTTAGGATTACACGGTTTACACGATTCACCTGAATCGTGTAACTGTGTAATCGTGTAAATTTACACGATTGAAGAATGTCGCTCTGAATCGTGTAATCGTGTAAATAGTTAAGTGCATTGGTGAGATGATTCGACCAGATGTAACAATCGTGTAACTGTGTAATCGTGTAAATTTACACGATTGAAGAATGTCGCTCTGAATCGTGTAATCGTGTAAATAGTTATTAGGGTTATCAGGGCATTGGTAGAACGATGCGACAAGCTGCAACAATCGTTAAATCTTATCCTGCTTACACCAATTGCTTTATACACAACTTCCCAACTTACTGTAAGTCATCGAAATGTAGTGTGGTTTCCCCTTAACTGAACTTTGTAGTCAACACTTCAGGGGCGGATCTAGCTTTTTGCTAAGGGGGGGGTTGACCAAAATAATGACGATGCGGAGCATCGTCCACGAGCCGATTTTTTGGGGGGTGTTTATTTGAACCCCGTAAGTGATGTTTTCCTGGCATCTATTAACACAATGGAGACCATAAAAAGCAGTGCATGATAACGTCTTTTTAAATCAAGTAACAGTTTAATACATAGTTATATCCAGAGTTATCATGTGTTTGGTTAAGTTACCAGATGAGTTGAATATCTTCTCACAATATTTGCACTTGAAAGGGTTTCTCTCCAGCGTGCGTTCTTTTTTCTTTCTTTTTTTCTTTCTTTTTTTCTTTTTTTTCCCTTTTTTTCTTTTTTTTGTTTTTTGGGCCGCCCAAGGGGGGGTTGCAACCCCCCAAACCCCCCCCCCTGGATCCGCCACTGCACTTATTATGCTTATTTTAGCAATCTCATTTCAAGTCAATTAATAAATACGTGACAAGACGGCTAATATCGATTTGACAATTTTATTATCCAATGTAGGCCAATGCACCTTAGTCTTAGACTAGATATTGATATATAACTTGTGCATTGATTGAAAACGACTTAATGAATCAAAACCATATTTTGCATGTGATTTTACATAAGCAACACAATCAAACGCCATCAAACAAGTGTATTTTGACAATTAACGTGTCTTTATAGAATTTGCCAACCAATAAAATACGAATATTAAAAAAGAAACATCCATTTGACTGTGTTTATTTCCAATTATTAATATTTGTTTTGTCTTGTGCTTCCGGGGGGGGGGGGATATCCACTCATATTACTGGAAAAACTTATATTTCTATTTTGACACCTACCGTGAGCCTTCCCGAAGCAAGGTATACGCCTTTTATCAAAATCGATACGATAATGTATTGGATTGATATCAGTTCACTTCAAAGTAACATTTTTTTTTTTTTAATTTTTTTTTTTACTTATATCAACACTAGAGTAATTAATCATGTTGAAGAGCATGGTGACGCATTGGATAAGCTGTTATATAATTTATAATGCAATCAATTGCTTTAATTGTCAGCCTTAGATTAATAACCTAAGGTAATTGTTATTCCCAAGTTCCCAATCAATTTTGACGCCATGACTGTTGCTTTTGAAAACTGTCAGAGAAAGACAGTAAGGCTTTCTTAACTTTTTGCCTTGATTAAAATATCACTGACTCATCCAGTAAATATGATTAATTTATTTTTTATAAGCATCGAGAAACCACATGCATGACCGTGTAATAGGGGCAATTTTGAAGCAACTGTGCCTAAGAAGAGATGCAAAGCATAATAATTTCATGCATCGTAATACTTTGTAAAATTATAATCCGATATGAATTGAGAATAGGAAAGAGGGGGGGGGGGGGGGGGGGTGAATAGTAATAGGAATTAGGAATAGGGCATATAGGAACTGGAATTAGGAATAGGACTGGAAAATATGAATATGAATAGCAAAACGAATGGAAAAGGAATCGGAATAATATTAGTAGTATGATGAATATGAATAGGAATAGCAATATGAACAGTGCAGAATATGAATAGCCTATGAACAGGTAAAGGAAAAGGATCAGAAATATGAATGCGAATAGGAGCAGGAATAAAAAATGTATTTGATCAGTATGCTCCAGAGACTGTAGACTGTAGATTATATCATACATGTTAACTGTTAGACGGTGACGGTCAACTGGCTAACCTAGGCCATGCAGTAAAGATTTAAACCACCATTTTCCATAGATTACCTCTGCTTCCTCCTCATCAGCATCTAATAATGCATCAACTTCAAAAACAGTGCTTAAATAGCATTTACAAATTATGGAATTGTATTGAATTGGATTGATTTGGTTTATTGAAAAATCACATCAATCAAGCAGCTCGCAGGGTGAAAATGTTCAATTTACAAACAAGTAAAAAATATAAAGAGATATAAACATATACAAAACTAAAATACATATAATATGTCAACTTTTGCAGATATTATTTAGCATTGTTAAGATGAAATCGAAATTGCAAAACAAAGTTATAAGATTAATGTAATAATACACTTTCATGTTGAAAGACCAAGACGGTGGAAAGGAGAAAATGGAGAAGAAAAAATGGAAGTTGTTTGAGCGAAAGAGTTGAGAAAGTATTTAAAAATTGCTATACAAACATTTCTATTACAAAAATTGAAATTAAGCATTACAAAATACGTATTGGATGAGATGAAATTAAACCGTAAAAATCAAAATGACAGTCTCTATTCCGTTTTCCCTTTAATATAAATGTAATGACAACATTCATCTAGATCGAGAAAACCCATAGTTTTAACTATGTCAATTAAGCTACTCATTTAGCAGGCAAGTAGTTTTTTCCTATTTCTTGATCATTTTTTTTATTACACCTGTGATGCATACATTTTATTATCATTCTTAACTATGTTCAGGCAATTTAAGGTTTATTTGATATTTCTTGTATGAAAATGTGTACCGTTTGTTATGTTACTGAGCAAAATGTATTAAATAAATAAAGATGAAACCTTTCATTAGGCTGCCTACGTACTTAGTTTGTTGTTGATAAAAACTTATTTTTTAAGAAATTGATGTCATATTGCGATATTGAAGATTCTTCCACATTCTATTTGTTTTCGTTTCTTATCCTACTTTAAAATTTGAAAGCAGCATTTCATTGTTTTAATTCCACATTTTGAAAAAGAACCAAATCTCCATATATAGCTACGTGTTTTGCCGCTGAGCATGCTAACCTTATGCTATCAAATGGTGAATCCATAAGAATATAACGTGCAATAATGTACATTGGAATGAATATGAAAATGCAGCATGAATATACAAATCTGGTGGATGGCACGATTGCGAGCCTTTAAGTTTTTCTGGATGTTCGTGCGTAACGATCGTGACAATGGGTCGGAGGTCAAGATTGATCACCTTGTTACCGGGTTTCTCCTAGGCCCATTCTCTTTAAAATTTATCATGTTTCGAAAGTTCGAAGACATGTCATATAATTTATTCCGCGTACATTATTCTGAAACGACCATTAAACAAATCCCATTCTAAAGTATCTGTCGTACTGTGCCTTATAAGAATGGTTGTACTCTCCCATGCACATGCAGTCATAAACATCATGAACGTGTTGAAAGTTTTAATGAACCTAGATCAAATTCTTTGAAGTTCAACGATGACCATGATGCCAATAACACAGTCATCATTGGTGATGGTGTGTTGGGTCTACAGAGACAGCATCCTTTCAAAATCTTTGGAGTCGTCAACGTAAGTATAAATCTTGATATCAGATTACCCATCAGCAGATGGGAAATTGGTGGGAGGAATGGAAGGACTATAAACCGTAGTGATTGTATATTCCTCTGTACGAGTGCATCATTTTTCTGTAAATCAGTATTCGACGACCAAAATAATACTCTTATAACTGATTGTGTTGTACCATGTATATAGCTTATCATCTGTAACACAAAATAGGACCTATATTGTAATAATATTTCCCCCTGAATGGGACCATGGTCTAGGTATCTATGTATGACAAGTTATTTTAAAATGAAAACTTGATGAAACAACTACGAAGAATGGAAATAAGAATGAGAGAAGAAGAGGAGCAAATTAAAATAAGAAACTAGAACTAAAAAGGATAAAATACGACAGCGAAGAATGAGAGAGAAATAGAACAAGAAGAAAGAGGTTGAGCAAAAGGAGGTACAATATAACTCTAACGAAACACATAAAGCACAACAATTAGTATAAAAGCTTAAGAAAAAACAGGTGAGAATAATTGTTATTTTTGTTGCATTATTCTTTCTTCAATCCATTATAAAGTATTAAGAGGTTTTCTTCCTTACATAAAACTGCGTTATACATTTCATCTGAAGAAGGCTTTTATGCAAGTTGCCTTTTAACCCGATGTGATTTATTAATATTAATCATAACGCCATTATTTATGTGTGACGTTATTTAGTTGAATTAAAAAAACACATAATAATTGTTTTCCCAGTGTTATACAATAACATTCTTCCCTCTATTATTACTCAAAAAATTGAACCACACAGCCTTATCATGATCAAACTGGCATCGATATGCCTTAACTCTGCAACTATCTTCGTCATCCTGCGCACGCGCAGTCTGCGGCAGACTGGCCACACTATTTTGATCCTGAATCTATGCGTGGCTGACCTGGGTGTGGTCTTTTCAGGAATGTCTTTCTCTCTCCTCTCCGTTTTTGATGGAGGAAACTTCCTGATCTCGCATCCAATGATTTGTAAGGTAATAAATTCGCCACCATAAACAAAGCACTATCCAAAAAGATTCCTTGTCGACGGCTTAATCATCATTTTATTTACCACCAAACATATTACGTCCTCATTATTGAGTAATTACCAATGTCGAATACGATAGCGATTCTGTTTTTTCATCGACTTGGCCACATGATTTTTAAAACTCTTTGATAACTTTCTACAAATATTATATAAAAAGAGTTATCCAATTGATTTCAATATCTCATTAATCTGTTACAGTATCTCAACGGATATTTGACAATCGCCTTTTCCATCACGAACTTCGCGTTGATATTCTGCATCGCCATTGATCGTCTGTTTCTCGTGGTTTTCGCCAAGCGCTTCCCGCCAAAACGCAGGCGAATTTACATCATGGTTGCCCTATCCTGGCTATTTGGGCTGTCAATCACCTCTATCAGAGCTTCTGGAGTGGTCAGCGGTTTCGACTTCAAGCCATCAAGAAAGAGCTGTGTAGCTCCTCTGGCAGGGAATGCCTTTTCGATAGTCAGCGCAGGTGTTCTGATACCAATATTCGTCATGATTATTATATTTTATGCGTCTATGACGTTCTACATTTGGAGAAGCGATCAACGTCTACGAAGACACACATTGGTAAAGTCGAAGTGGGCTTCGAAGTCGATGGCATCGATGGATAAGGACGCATCCAAAGCAATGCGGCTCGACGTCCAGGTTAGCTAATTTAACGTAGTATATGAATGGGTTCGGGGTCGTATGCTCCATAACACCACCAACACACGCACTTCACACACACTGGCAGCATCTTCACACACACAAACAATAGGAACGTGTTTTCAACCTATACTCAAAGAGCAACATACATGATATTAATTTGAAAAAGCGAGTCGGGAGAAATTACAATGCTCCATTTTATGGAACAGCCAAAATGTATAGCTCTTTGCTACTTTTATCCTTCAAATCCGTGTAGGCCACCTCCATTGCATGATGTGATCTATACTTTCCCGAAGAACCTGGAACCCCACCGACAAGTACTGCTTTCATGAGTTCCCACACCCATTATCACTTTCACTCGTACGTTTGTGTAACTTGCTAATGCTATTGATTATACTAACTAGACGTAAAATACATCATTCATAAACTATATTAGGCCTATGCAGACAAATTTAACTGGTTAAGGAGCTGTTGACTGACAATTTTCCGAAGCTTATAATTTGTTTTCCTGTGCTGCTAACTGTGAAGAAACCCCCAATCGTGCCCCCTCACCCCAATCGATATTTTCAGGTGTGAAATACACCTGGCATTGCATTTTGTTAAAGAAAATACTTACAAACAATACAATGGGGTCCCAAAGTGTACAATCATGACCTAATAATTTTAGATATGTACAAAGTAGGAAACAAAGGTCCCAATTTGTGTCTTTTCTTGTCACAAAAGGGTTCTGCTCCCCAAACGAGTTCACCTGTACCACCAGAGTCAGAGAGAAACGAGGAGACATTATCTCCCGTCGTCCTGGAAACGGTTTTCTCAGATCAGTTAGAGAAGCCTGATGACGATGAGGGCGATACTAAAGGCAGTTTGCCGAATGGAGGAACATCGGACACGAAATACATGTCGATAGGTCGAACGCACATTCATCAGGCGCACAGGCGGGTCGCTAAAATGGGTAGGCCAAGACAAAGTAATGTAATCAATCGATCCAAATCAATGTAGGCCATAATTATAGTCTATCACTTATATTGAGTCTAACGAGTTTCTCAATCTTTAATTTGTGTGTGTTTGTTTGGAATAACGTACCTTCAGTGACGATGATGTTTTGATAAGTAAGTTCATTTTATTCATTGACCTTAAAATGTTTATTTATAGACATGTTGCACAAATATTTTTGTTCATATTGGACAGGAATGATGCTGATAATTGTGTTGGAGCAAATAAGTTACATTTCTTTAGTCCTATATGAAATTTTCGGCACAATGATTTTATGGCGATGTAATGAGCTACGTGAGTTTTTCCTTAATGCTAATGAGGGGTTTGCTTTTGTTTTAATCTCTTTTCGTAAGGTGTAATCCTTATCTCAGCCTCTACCTTATGTTGGACTCCGTACTTCATCTACCACGCAGACTGGTCATGGGTTCCCAAAGCCCACTGGTTCCGCGTCTTCGCAATGTGGCTGGCTTACTGTCACACTCTTACCGATCCACTCGTTTATGCCTTCATGAACAGACGAGTCAGAGCCGAGATGACACGAATGGTGAAACGAGCAAAAAGACAGCTTCTCAGCAAGTGCAGGCACTACTACTGTTTCCATGGCTAGCTGCAATGATTTTTTTTTTTTTGGGGGGGGGGGGGGGAGGGCGGAAGGGGTCTGGGGGGGGGGGGTGGGATGATATGTTTTTCTCATATTTTCCTGAAAGTTAAACCGGATGCCGAGTTTTAAAGCTCGGTCGAAACCATGAAACATGGACTTCTAAACATGTCTCTGGTCGAAAAGTGAGTTAAGAAAATATATCAGCGGATGGCTTGTAGCCCGTCCTACACCAGGTTTAAATGAAATAATGGAATACGGAACTTTAGACGCAAACCTATTTCAAATGGTGATTATATATTGACCTTTAGTCATATCTTAAGCCTACACTTTACACGTTACTGTTGTCTCCTAGTTTGAAAACTTTTAAAAGCTTGACAACGCTTTTAACTATCAAAATATAGATACAGATTAGGAGTATATATGTATATCATTTGTTTGTTTGTATACACCAAGCGTGTTGCTAAATTGTATTCTCACACCTTTTAAATGCTGATGCAGTGAAAAAGGGCATAGCTTTCATCTTACGAGAAGAAAAAAAAAATCAGCGATTCATTTTTCTTTAAACCTGTTTAATATTGGAAAAAATATCTTTAGTTATCCATTTAGGGATGCGATGCCGGATGTTTAAACAATTCGTATAGACACTGTTTCAAGTGACAGTCGAATTTTTAAAAGTCCCAGTGGGTCTCAAGTTCAGCATAACTAGATAATGATCAATCAGTAAATAAGGATCAATGAGCGTGATCTTTAAGAACAAACATGTTAATAATCAACGAAATTTAATATGTTATCTTTTTATTTACTAATTATCTATCAAACGATTGCTGAGGTACGTGTGGCAAACGGTATAGGCATAATGAGTCATTATAATCAAAGTTGACCTCCCTCCATTTCCACACACGTTATTGAATATAATCATGAGGCAAGTTTTTTTTATACGTTTTAGTTTATTCGGGAATTTACATTGATTCGATATTCATTTTGAATAATCGGTACTCGGTTGTTCAAAATATTACAATGAGTTTTTATTTCATAGTTAATATAGACAGTGGTAAAAAATTATGATACAAACAAATTTAGTAATGGAAATAACGATTCTAGGAATAGATAAGGTTTTTGGAGTTTGCATGAACATTCTATTCTAACATACTAATATAAATACACTATATCAATGTTTTTTGTTGGCTTAGATACATACTGTATATCTGAGCCAACAAAAATATTTAAAGAAAATATCCTTAAATCACCTTAATCTGTTTTTGAAAAGATTGTCATATATGCAGTGTGTTACACTTCTGATTGATTGATTGATTGATTTTATTTCATTTCATATAACAATTGTTTGCACAATAAATAAAATAGTTGACAAAGTAAGATTGTTATATGTCTTTTCTCTCTTATTTATGTACCAGACGTATTGCCATAGTTTTTTAATTTCATCATAATGTTTTTTACTTTGTATAATCACTGCGAAAGATTTTTTTTAAGTGCATAAACTGTTTGAAATAAATTACACGTTTCACGCATACAGCGCCAGCACTCTACGCTAATGCACGAGTTGAATTCAATTTTAAAGGTTAATAAATAAGACTTCGTGACCATATATTTCATTAATGGTGACTAATCATGTTTTATATAAATGTTCTCTATACCCATACATGACTACTCTGTCTTTTGTGAAAAGGACCCATCTATTTATGGATTTCCACAGATTTACCATGCTATTGTCTGGAATAAACTTGTGAATACGAAAGTTTCTGTGGCGGGGATTCTCACTTCTATAATGCACAAGACGTATTTCAGTCTGTGGATCCAAGGTGACGCTGTCCCCACCGAGTTTCATGGCGTGGATCTTAAAGTAATGCACCCACTGCGGGCGGATGAAACACTTTTCGCGACCACGCCCCTCTCTAGTCGGTTCAGGGCTGCGCCAGGGGTTTCTCTCGATGACCGATTTCCCCGACATGATCTCCTTGCTGACGTTCGATGACGGGCGCGAAAAGAACCAGTTTCGAACGCGGACGATGCCGATGGATGGTGGTAACGTTTGCTCAAACTCGTGCAGGAAATCGACCAGTCTTGTCTCGGTCTCGAACATCGGCTGCATGAATTCATCGACGTCGATTTTCAGAATCCAATCTGTGTCGTGACGATGTCGCCAAAGGCAGTCGTTTTCGTGAGCGATTTGAACCTCAAGGTAGGTTTTGGTCGGCGTGAAGGTATGCGACCAGGGGATGACGGTAACGAAACCGAGACTGATAAAGCGATCGAGAACACCGATTATTGTCCCATCTTTAGAATTATCGTAAACGTACACGTGGTCGATCCCCATATAGCGGTAGTACAACAACCAATCATCAAAGTACTCATCGACGTTATTCACCATGGTACAGATGGCAAGGTAGTGGACTTTATTCCAACCAGCCTTACAGAGCGGAACGTCGCGGTAGCTTTGAAATAGAGTTGAATTTTCCAAGAGGTTCACGTGAAGCCTATCTGGAAGGTTATGAGGTAAGAAGGAGGTAAAATAAATATCAGGGATTGGGCAAGTCATGACGAAAACATACTGAGGTTGTGTACCCATGCTGCGATCATCGATAACCACTGGATCTACCAACGATACATTACTGTCTGGAAATTCGCAAATAAATGTCTCGTTGATCCAGGACTCATTCTGGAAAAGAGTGCCGATGAAAACCACATTTCTGTCGACGACGTCGAAGAAAGCGGAATTGATTGTCGGCATGCCCTCGCATTGAATTCTATCTTTGAAGAAGCATCCATCTCCAAGAGTCCGATGGGTGACCACCTCAATGTTCGCTTTGCAGGACGACGGCGGTTGGTCTTTCACTCTTGGCAGAGTCCGGCCAACCAATTGCTCCAGCTGCTCATCAGAATTATGAACGAATCCAAGACTCGACAGAGACTTGTCTTGTATCATGAATGACAAGGATGCTATTAAATAGATGATGGTTATCACTACAGCGAGGACGGGCCAAAACCTCCTTTTACATGACAAGATTCTTCCAATGCGGAGTGCACCTGAACGGGCTGCTCTAGAGAGCATTGTTTATCTTTTTGCATATGATGCTGCTGTGTCCTAGAAAGAAAATGTAACGTTGGTCCCCTTAGCCTTCGGTGAAATTTCCAGAGTGCATATTTCAACATGCATTCTAATAGGCTCAGCAGCACGAGATAATACCGGGCGTGCCATTTACTTTTTCATGTTTATCTATCTTTTAACAATCTTTGATATCCTGAGGCAATGCCGCTTGAAGCACTTTCTATTTCCTTTACATATTTGAAAGCAGTCAAGACATACGAATAGCTATTTCTTTTCTCCCGGGTTCCTCCTTTCAGGATTCTTTTAGTAAACGTTGTCAGAACTTTTTCACAATATCTCCTTATATAAAGCCATGATATGAAGTAAAATTATGTTGTTGGGACGATGGCACTGTCACCTCATGAATTACTTCAAGGACATGTGAAGAAAACCAATCTGCTGACAAAATGTATTTTGTTCCACGTGTCTAAGAATATTCTTCAAGTATATTCCCGAATCTCTTTGAAGTTTTAGTGTCTTTGAGAAGGCCGAATCCACGTCAATAGGGTGTTCTTTGGCAGGAATGGTTTTCATCTCAGTCTTGCACCATGCATGGAAGAAATCTCTCCATTCTCGCTTGGTTCAAGTTCCCCCGAATCTCGTTACGTGTCCTGGTGCGGATAAAAAGAGTGGGGAAAGTTATAACCAGTGAGAATTGATGATAGTATTAACATGACAATGTTTGAAATGAAGGAACATGCAAAGAATTCTATAAATAGCCATAATTAAGCGTTAGTTTGCCTCCCGTCGTTGCGAGTTTTGATAAAACGTGGAGAGCGTTATTACAAATGAAAATCATTATTAATCATTGATTAATGACAACACGATTATCCATATAATTAATTTATCATATTTTACACGATTGAAATGGAATAAGCAAACCAGGATGCGCTTGATAGTTCATAACGAGCATGATAGTCAATGCATCATTTCTAATATGCATGCATATTAAAAAAAAAAAAAATCATCTATAGTCCACAAAAGGATATGTAATGTTGCTAAGTTTCCTTCTAATATTATTCACAACTGTTTAAAACATTTGATGTATAAGCCCAGGGAGGTGAGACTTTAACTCACATGCCCTGATAAGCCTAACAATACTAGGAGCATTCTCTGTGACAGAGTACAAATATTTATTCGCCGATAACATTAACACGTATTTTCCAGCTATTATTCAAGTAGAGACTGAGAACAATGGCAAAATCGATAACATACCGGCATCACCCTGATTATAATTTGCATGCAGTTTGATGAACGAAACCTCTGAAAACAGAAGCCTACATACAGACTACATCTATCATCTAAAAGTTGTATATTTATGAATGGAACATCACATAAGTGTGTATGAGAATAGTTCGTAGTTAGAAAATTGTATGAAACCACAGAACTTTGGGCACTATATTTCTTGTAAAAATTAGGTCATTGATCATCTAAATGATAGATGACTGTGCAATCAAACATTATTCCTTCTCTTATGGGTAAATGTGTTTTTTTCTTCTAAAATTACATCATATATTTCGCCAGAATATTACCAGAAATGAGTGAGTTCTTCCATGTATAATTTAGCTCCAGGGGGATTTGGTCTACTAAGTATTGGAAAATTGGCGTATATAGTGCAAGAATGATGCTTTATATGATTTAAAATATGTAGCAAATAAGATTTTAAGGAAAGTCTCCTTTTCTATTTCGATACATGCGGGAGATGGTCAATATATAGACAAATTCTTCTATATGTCCGACTTGAAAAGACCAAAAAGTTATCTAACATAACATTGAATTTTTTATTCTATTTTAACTAGTACAGAAGAGAGTTGTCCCACATAGTTGGTCCCACATGACCACAGTCCTACATAGGTTTGGAGCCATTGTAATCAGAGCATGTGTCTCGTGTCATGATGAAGGACATCTTCTCCTCGAAAATATCTAGAAGAGGTTAAGGTGTCCAAGGAAAACTAAGTAATGACACAATACACGTGATACATGCACTTACATTAAAAGTTCTTCTGTAAAATGTAGTTGATAATTACCTTGTTTGTCTGAACAGTCGCCTACGCATTTTCGATCTTGCCGCGTTTACATTACGAAAGTGAAACCCCTCTTCATCAATCAGGCCAGTCTGACACTTTGAGGAAAGAGTTGCAATACTTTGTATAGCCTCCAATGGCGGACATTTATCAGCAACTACCTGACACGTTCGACGTATACTTCGGTCTGCGACAACGCTGCAGAGATGTATAATAATACTCACGATTTTCAGACGAGAATGAGTGTTTATTTGCTCGGGTGTACTTTAAGCGACCTTTAGCACAATTGGGCAATGTGCATATACTCATACCAGGAACAAGGAACAAAAGAGACCGTCGTCTAAATAGGTTCTTTGGCGCTTAGTCTTACGTAATACCAAAAGGGATTTGGAGGCGAACAATACAAGATTCTAATAGCTCAAACGCAGACACTCTCGATGGCATTAAATAATTTGTTAAAAGCTTGTCCCATTTCTTCTGTGAACACTTAGCGCGAGAATTTATGTTCAATAACATTAAAAGAAAATATTCCGGCTATCCCGAGCTCAGGATCCTTAACCCTATTGCTATTTTTGTTGATCTTTATAGAAATGTTACAGTACAAAACAAAAAAACTCTAAAAGGATCCAAGATTTTTAACCCGAGGGTATTAAACATCTGCTTTTCTCAGTATGCGCAAACCGTCCACATGCATAGCTTTTTCGTCAATATAAACTTTCTCTGCCATGGGCGTGATAGAGGGCAGGGGGGAGGGGGGGGGGGGGGGGGGGGGGGGGTCGGCTGCGAAAAAATAACAACATTTGACAATTTGAAAAAAAGAGCTTAGTAATAGTAGTATTAAGATCTTTCCTGAATATGCATGCGATTGGAACACTAATACCCGGCCGAAAAAAACGAAATAATAAGCTAATTCAAAGAAATGATCCCGCTATGGTTGTATGGTAAACCATTTCTACTACCTATGTATTTCATGATACTTGGGATCAATTGGATTACATTGAAGTATAGATAAGCGAATTAGAAATAGTGATTTGAACAAGCGACTTCTATTCATAATTTTCGTAAAAAATAGTGAACAATCCTGGGAAGAGTATAATTAATATTCCTGTTTTACTGAAACTACTTTCAACTTTATATGCATAAAACAATTAATTTCGAAGCACCTAATTAACATCGCCATGATGATATTAGACAGGCATACACTCTCATCATTCCACAAATTGCATCATCACATATTCGAGATTCACAATCATATCAAATGGTTTGACATCTTAGACCGACAATTCTTGAGTTTTTGAAAATTTGAATTTTCTCCCCATAACAAAAATGTTATATCGAGACATTAATGTTTTGAATGAAGTGAGAATAAGAGTACCCGAGCAAACAATGGCCTAGCTCACATACATTTTCAGATTTGTTCATGCCTTTATCACATTCTTCTGAAGACCCTGTATCATCCGACATAGCAACAACTTTTACAAGATTAATATGCAACGCACTACATTGTCGCACCGGGTCTGGCGGTAAAAACTTTTATAGATTGGAATAAATTAGTGAGCCGTAAAGTTAACAATTTTGAAACGATGTAAGCTCTGCCTTTTTCATTCTTTGTTTGCATTTACATGTATATAATTATCAACTTCTCAAGCATTCAAAAAGCCTAAAAATGTATTTGTTCGTAGTTGCCTTCAATTGATTATATTCTCTCTCTTTCCGACTATATCTCTGCACTCAGTAATATGTATGTGACATATTCTCTGTTTATAGATCTATTTCCCCTTTGTCATGTTTGTTCACATGTGCGCTTTGAGCATTTTATCTTTAAATGGATTTGATGCCCTATTAGTCTTATATTTCTACATAATTATATTTAAAAGTGTTATAGGATTAATTTTTCGATAAATGTACAAAATATTAAGAATTTTATAGTTGCAGTTTTATTTGAGTTACATAGGCCTATCTTCTAAAGAGGAAGTATATTTTAAAAGATAATATATCATCCTTTTATATTTCGAAACTAGAACATAATCCCAACACTAAAAATCATCATTATAAATCATCCCACATATATCACACTCAACGACTCACATATCCTTCATTGTTTTTCTGTTTTTGTGGTCATGGACGTTCTATGAAAAATAAAGACTTAGTGAAAGTGGAATAGAAACTAGAGTATGATTAAATTAAAGGAGAGTGGTTGACAAGTGGCTTGGTTGCGAAACGTGACTCTTTATTAATGATTGATTGGTTTTGTTACATTCTTTATAGTGAAGATTAAACATAGCAATTCAACATTACAATTCATTCAAAATGCATTATCATAAGTTACTCAAATTAAGCATGTTATACAATAATATAAAGAGTTAGGAAAAAGGGAAATTATGAAAATGCAATGATAAAAAGCTTGAATTAGCCAGTCCAAGTAATTTCATTCGTTCTCTCGACATAAAGAAAATACAAACCAAAAATATATTTGGAAATAACCATGTCTCACTTTAAAAAATGCCTTCACACCACAAACCGGAGTATTATTTGTTGTAAATATTAACAATACAAATTATCATCATAAGCGACACATGTTATTGAGCTCATTATGTGATGTAAAATGATACATGTCTCAATAGAAATATAATCTATACAGATTAAATACCAGCAAATATATTCTAGTCGAACACGAGTATAATAACCTTTATGTTGCTAAGCTAACGTGAAATACATGCAAGCAGTGACGAGTAGAGCATAATTTTATTCCAGATATACAAATTCAAGAGCTACTGTTTCTTTAAACCAGAAAGTGATAATGTTTTTTTTTCTGATATTTTGAGAAATTCTCAATATTTAAATGAAATGGAAGGATTAACAACACTTTTTGTTTACATACGTTTATAACCATCATGTTAGAACTGTGCATATAATACTCGAATCAAGCAATACGATAATATACATTGTTTCAATATTAATTTGATCAAGAACAAATGAATTGATTTAGTATATATATATGAACATGATAGAAAATAAGAGAAAAGATTTGAAAGAAACTTTGTTTACATCTGCCTCAAACATAATGCATCATTCAACCATAAATTTCCTCAAAAGCTTTATCATTCTAATCACATTAATTCACCGACATTATGCCTACGTAAAAATGTTTCATTTGTAACATGGATATACTTTTATGGTGCATTTCATTTAAACATAATCTCTTCTCCTACAGTTAATTTAATGACCTGCTATTTTTATTTGTTATGATATCAATTAAAATGTCTAAGCATAATATAATATGCTATTATTCCAAAGGAAATATAAATGATACAGGTATGATTTTCTGTGTTGGTTTAAATAAATGAAAGACTTAAAAGTAGTTTTAAAGATGTACTAAAGGTTATATTATAGATAGGTGGTTAAGTGTATTTAACATTTACTTGAAATTGTGCAAATCTGATCCTTATGATTTTTTTCATGAACTTTTTAAATGAATGAATTAATACCTTATAAATCATGAAAATTCTTAATCATTTCAAAGGTTTTAACGAAAATTGAAAGAAGAATTACATGGTCATGAAGAACGGGAACAAGTGCATCGTTACAAATATGTTTCTTTCAATTTACAGTGTATAAATATCATTTTCTTCTAGTCATTACATTCTTAGGTTAAGTCTATGAGATTAGTAGGTTATCATTGATTATCATTGATCAATATTAAGTGTAGATCTACTATTATTAACGCTCTACATTCATGAACTATTCCATTTCATTATAGAGAAAGATTATTGGAACAAACATAAATATTATTGAAAAAGATAGACAAATATACTTATCATATTTACAATATATACTGAGAATATACACAGATTATCTTATGTTATACAGCACAATACGTTATGTATTCTTCGTGGGTATATATGTGACAGTTTCAAAATGGAGCAAAGATGATACATAACTACACATATACATATGTACAGGCTTGTGAAAACACGTTTTTAACAGATTCCTATTTTTGCATTATTATATACACGGATTCTTCTCTTAGATTCATAAACTTTCATTTCTTACACGATCATTTAATCACGTTTCCTTACATCATATTCGTCGGCATTTCTGTACGAAAACACGAATGCTATAATGCTAACACCATGGGCTATCGTTGATAAGGCTAGCACAGTTAAGAGCATCGTTTCCATGGAAATGGTTTTCATTTGAGAGACTACATCAGTCGCATTCGTCTCTTCATTCACGACGCAATTTGACGAGGGGTCATTTTCTTGAGTCACAGAATCGTCAGTTGGCGATGTCGGCTCAGTCTTTGTGATATTCACAATGAGGGTTTTGCATCGTAGTTCGTCCGTCGAATCGTTTGGTTGTTTCAGATCGCTATCAGGTACGGAAAGGAATGACACGCGATATTGGTGGTCTGGTAAATTCAATTGTCCAATGCTATGCACTATTATATTTGAGGAATCATCCTCTTCACCGCAAAGGAAAACGATGTTCCCCAAAGTCATGGTATAAGATTCTGTATAATTGACAGGTTGCAAATCGCAACTGTTATTATACCACCACGTTAAGGAAAAAGTCTCGTTTGTGGCGCAACAATTAAATAGTACATGTTGACTTTGGAGTACATCATCTTGAATCGTATGTTGTTTTACGGGAGGAAAAGAACACGTTTTATTGCGACGTTGCCTCGTGTGCGTAACCAAACATTCGGCCGGCATAATTCTCTCGTCAAAAATAAATTCGGGATCGACGTAAACACTGAATTTGTTGGTTAATGTAAAATAACTAGCAATATTCATCTCAGGAGCATAATATTCGTACAGCACCTGATTTCCTGCTATAAGTTGGGCTTGATCCCCAACGTTCACCTGCAGCCATTGGCAAGACATCTGTAATTTTCCGCGCCCTCTGTCAAGGATCGTTGAACAGGTGGGAGGTATAACCTCGATGGTTAAATTCAAAATTAACACCGTGCAAATGAAACGTGCACCCTCGGTTATTTTAACGATGTGTGTGCCGGAATCGTTCTCTTCAACAAACGCGATACTCAACTCGAACTCGGTGTCAGAGGATAGTTGAGTTAACGTATACCGATCAGGATTGAACAATGTGTCGCTGCTGATGCATTCCAGAGAACGATTGCATTCCGTCATCCAAGCCCCATCTTTGGTCCATGCCAGTGACTGGGTGCTGACCAGGGCATCTTTCAGACTAAATCGCATGGAAATATTCCGACCGGTCACTGCTGTTATTGCTCGTGTTTGAAGCCCATCACACCAGAATGGATCGACGTCAGACAGAGTCAG